ATATATAGAATATATATATATATATATAGAATATATATATATATATAGAATATATATATATATGTATATATATAGAGAGAGAGAGAGAGAGAGAGAGAGAGAGAGAGAGAGAGGGACAGAGAGAGAGGGGTGCAAAGGCTGTATACTACCTTGAGGTAGGTATGGCCTAATTCACCCCTGACTGTAAACCTTCTGTAACCTGTGTTTTGTTTTTCTGGATTTTTCCAGACGTCAGTCCGGCCGGACGTCCCGCTGTGTCCAGGTCCAGATCCAGGTCCGGCTATAACCATGGTTCATTATCATGGTGCATTATGTTTGGAGTTACATTCAGATTCAGTAAGAGAAGGTCCTCGCAAGAATGCCCTTATTCTTCTTGTTGCGCAGCTAAATTAAGAGCATACTCACAGTAGCACAATGTCAAATGTATCTGACCATAAGTATGTCCCTGCTTAGAAGTATCTGACAGCAAGCAGCAGTCAACAATATACCACATCAGACTCCACTCGGAGTTCCCCAACGAGTTCAAGGATAATTACTTCCACATCTCTTCGTCCTTTCTTGGTTTATGTTAAAGCTGGTAGGTTTGGGGTAAACAACCTGAGAGGAAATGAAGAGGGATGGCAATCTGACAGTCTGTCCTCCAGATTCCTGGAGCAATCAATGATGTTCAGGGGTCCTTCGACCATACGGAAGGAAGTGTGAGTGTGGCATACTGCACAGCCACACGGGCCCCAGCGTTCGCAGCCTAAAAGCCTGAAAACAAGGGCTTACAGGCCCTGTGTCGTTTCAGCCTGAAAGCCTGAAAACGAGGGCCTGCAGGCCCTATGTCGTTTCAGCCTAAAACAGGGTCGACCAGGCCCTGAGTCTTTTCAGCCTGAAACGGAGGGCCACTTTCGGGCCCTCATAAGATCGACCTGCCCTGACATTCAGGCACCAAACCAGGGTTTTAGGAACAGGCTATTTTCGGCCTGTTCCCACGACAGCCTCAGCAGGAGCTGCAGCACCAGACCCTGGCTCGTCTTGGCATTGGCAAGAGCAGCCTCCTGGACTGCCCCGCCTGCAACTGCAGGCAGTCGGAGGCAGTCAGGAGGCAGGCCGAGGTAGTACATAGGGAGTTCCCATGCACTTCACGGGCAGGCAGAAGGCAGGAGTAGTCTTCAGGATTTGGCAGCAGCACTCTGGAGAAGCGCTGCAGGAGTAGCTTTAGCGCTAGCAGTAGTCTTCAGCGCTGGGCACTAGTAGCTGTAGTGGTAGTCTTCAGCGCTGGGCGCTGGTAGGAGTAGAGTAGTGTTGGAGAGAGAGATGGCTGGCGGAGGCCAGGGAGACTTAC